CCATAATAGGTAGGTTTCTCTGCTGGGTCTAAGTACCAAGATCTTCCCCTGTATGATTGAAGACTAATGTTGAATGAAATCCTATGCTGCAGGCCTATCTATCTCACTGAAAATTTCTCACTTAACATGGAATGGAAAGGGTGCTTGAACTCTACATACCAAGTGCAGTATACTATGAATCCAGTTGCATGCTCTACATGCCAAATGTGTTATTAATCCAATTCCCAAATCCCATGAATATAAACAAGCATGTCTGTGTTTCCAAACCTCAGTTCTCGAGGTTCATATTGTAATCATTTTAATGCTGACAACTTAAACATAAATATGATCTGAAGTAGGGAAAAAGATTATATTCAATATTTTTGTGCAACATTAGGCAAAAAGAACCCACATATTAAGGTAATAAGTTGGGTTCAAGTGAACTCAGAAGGATTCCATTTTGAAAATCAATATCCTGAAACTTCAGAAATCACAGAATACAATAGTTGAAAATAAGGGGAGAAATTGGGCAGAAGCAAAACGCAAGTTTAATTTTAGCGGCACTTTGGTACCATCACAAAAACACAAGCAGAAATTTTAATAACACCAAACCCAGGCAAGAAGCTGCTCCTCATTACCAACTTCATATTCAGGGAATGGGGCTGTAAACAGCAATCAGGATTTTTAATTAGTCTGCTACAAAATGACATCCGAATTGAAGAAGAGGCTTGGTTTTTTTCCTGTAGTCAATCTACAAATCTTGTAGAAGTGCTGATAAAATTAGACTGCATAGAAACAGCATATGTATATATTAATATTTCATTTATGCTTTGTTTCTTAGGATATTCTACTGGACATATTTGTGTTAAGATGTGGAATTTTAGGCTTCTTGTATCTGTGAGCCTTTGCTCAATTACTAAGGGAACTAACACAGCTTTTATAAAAATGGAAAAGAACTAAACAACACAAGAACCAAACAACATGGAGAAAAAAGCAGTTCCAGATGTCGGGAGAATTAGAGAAAGGGGAAGGAGTTACAGGAGGCACAGTTCTGTAGTCAAAAACAGGATGAAGACTAAAAAACCAAGGACTAGCGGTTTCATAACAGGCATGAGCTTGTACAATAAGCTTAATTATAGACACAGATCCTTTATCTTGTTCTGTTCTTGTATTTAACAGAGTATACATCCACAAAGAGATTAAATGAGACTGCAATTTGGAAATCTGCAAGAATAAAAGGGTGACTTCTTTGTGGTTTATCCCACTTTGAGAAGTATCCAATAATCTTCAAAAGGGTCAATATTGTATTGTTTAGCCATAATTATGATGCTTGAAAACAGGCAGAGAGGAGAGAGGAGGATATTTTTTAAAAAACCTTTTCAAAAACATTACATCTGGATTCCTGCAAGAGAGAGGAAGTCAGTCTTGTGGTCTTAAAGTCCAATTTCTCTGGTTTGCATTTTTCCACCTTCTACAAAGAACCCAGGGTTCTTTCCACTGAGTAAAATAAAATGTCAGCTATTTGGGGAAAGAATGGGAAATAGTTTTAAGTTCATGTGATGAAGGACATCTAATTTGCAATGAATGGAACATTTTCCGTATTGCAGCTGAGAAACCAACATGAATGTCACCAGGAATTCAGCTCAGATCAAGAAAGCCTTTATTCATTTACATCCTGATAACATACTGTACTTGCTTCGGAGCAAATATGTGGAGGATTGCACTTTTACACGTCCAATGATTGCTTCATATTTATTTCATGGGACAAAAGTGTAAGTCTACATATAGATTTTTATTTTCCTTTTAATTCTGAGGACCCAGTTTGTGGGGGCAATAAGCTGACTTTGTATAAATACACAAAAGTATGAAGGCTATTGCTTAACGCATTGTAAGCCACCCTGAGTCTCCGGAGAAGGGCGGCATATAAATCAAATTTAAAAAAAAAAAAAAACCCATTATGTTCTGGCTAGTTGGGGTTTTTTTTTAAATCAGTACTATTTCATTGCCATAGTTTATCTTTCTCACATGCTATATAGTACAAGGTATGTTAATTTACTCATTAACCTCAGCCCACTAAGTTATATAGCAAATTAGCTGTAAGAGCAAATCCTGCAGAACTTTGCATCTGTATATTTGTATCTGTATATTTGCACCACTATATTTGTGCCAAAATAAGACAGAAACTCAACAGATCAAGCTTTCTCTCACCAAATTGGCTTGGGCACTAAACGTAGGAAAAACAAATGTTGTGTTATCTTCAGCGGAACAAGCTTATCAAACCGTCTGTTTCTTCTAGCTAATTTCATTTAACACTTTCAACTTTTCCTCAGAGGATGAGAACTTGGTCACCAAGAATTTAATACATTTATTTGCCAACTATGGTTTGTTGAAGAAGCCATCACACTAAATCATACTAAAGTATGAGTTGACTTAGAACATTGTACAGATCCAGCTACTGTATCTAGTCCATAATTAGGCTGCTTTAGAAAATTATTCAACAACTTTTACGTAAAATTCATGCATACCTGAGTTATGGTAAATGGCAGCTTTCTGCAGAAACACCTACTAACCCACCCGAAGTGAATATTGCTCCACTTAATGTGGCGTTCCAGGATATGTATTAACCACAATTTTTCAGCAAATTTGGATGTGTTATTACAAAAGGGCAAGCATAGTTCCTGAATATATGAACGTAGTTCCTCCATGGTTGCAGCAGTAGCTGATTTCATGCTGAACTGTTAAGTAGACTGTTGGTTTGGGCTTAGCATGATTTGTGAACCATAGTTTATCATGGAGCAGTATATATAAACTGGACTTTTTCATCACACCATGGTTAAAACAAACCACAGTTTAGCATGATCTTTGAATCCAGCACATATACACAGATCTTGTCCAATTAGGTTAAACCATATGATGCTGGAGTAACAAACATGAAGAGTAGGCTTTTGAGTATGCCAGGAGATCAATCTTCAAGACCTCCTGCCAGCTGTAGATGACTTTTTGACCCTTCCCTAAGAACTCTTGAGTGATATACAAGATCCTACTAGCTGCAGCAAATGATCACAGCCAGCCACAGCAAATTATCTTTGCAATGTAAAGGCAGAGCATAACAAGAATGACATGTGGATTAGAAGACATCCAATTTAAAACGTACATCTTCTAGAAACTCAGTAGTTGGTTACAAATGTGATAAATAGAATTAAATGCAGGAAGCCTAGGTATAAAACCCATAATGGTCCACACTCATCAGTCATGCAGTCTTAACAATTACCTATCACTTCTTCCAAGTGCCAAACAAGATTTAATACCAAATACACAGCCCAGCCTTCCTTTGTTCTCAAAGTAATCCAGGCACCTAGCAATCTAATCTGGACATGTAAATATGTGTTTATGTAAAGGTAATTTAACTTTACTGATAACATCTGTATCGTAGAACTGACTACTAGTAACATCCTATCCTTAACCAACTCTCTCTGTGTTTAAAATAAGATATACATTCTGCAACATCTAAAACCGTGCACAGTACGGTTTCAATCCTATGGAGATTCCCATTTACCAAGAAGCAAGTTTTATTGAAAAAAGTGGAACTTTACTGAAAAAAGTATTGATGGGACCAGACTATAATCCGGCAGATACTTTGAAACTAAACTCCATTCAATTATCTTTATGAAAAAAACCACAGGTCAGGCTCTACACCAGGGCTGTCAAACTCAAGGCCCACGGGCCGGATGCATCACATGCTGGCCACACCCACGCCCGGTTTAGTGAAGGGGAAAAAAGTCCAGATACATCACGTGACACCGCCGTGATGACGTGAGTTTGACACCCCTGCTCTACAATACTGCTTAGGCATGTTATATGTACACAAAAGGAAGTCAAGCTTGATTTTAAGATGCTCATCAGCCAAAGAAAAATAGCACCAAATCTTCAGCAAATCTAAGACAATTTATCTTTAAAGTGCAAGTACTACCCGGGAAAAAAATCAACTCTACTTTTGGGGCAAATTACCTTAAAATAAACCCGAGGAACTCCCAGAAAAAAGGCACCTAGGTTTGGGCTAAATTCACAGCATACTTACTCAAAACGGTTATGGAAGGGTTTTAGTTCAGCAACATGTTTGACGTGCAAATGCTTCCGATTTCAAATACTAACATATCCCAGCTATGGTAGGAAAAGCCTGCCACCCATAACAATTCAGACCTTTCAGCCAGGCAGAGAAGAATAGATACAAGGCAATTTGTACATTGCCAAATATATATATGAGCAGCTTTACAGATAACATATTTCTGGAAAATCAAATTGAAGCTGTTGCTATGCCCTTTCTGTATTTAAGGGCTGATACATTCATTACCTATTAAAACAAAGGTTTTCCCACAATGCAGAAACTATTCTGTTGCCAAGGGCCACCATAAGGACACACTGACGGGTCATGGCACAAAGTGACAAGTACATGATGGTGAGGGTATGCCAGAAAAAGCTTTTACCTGGCAATTGGCCTGAAAGATATTCCCTTTCACCTGTGAACCCTTCCCTATTCCCTAACACACGAATTCCACCACCCCCCCAAAAAAGAAAGGAAAAACAATAATGCCAAGAAAGGTGGCATGGCTGATGGACAGAGCAAGGAGCCCTCTTCCTTGGAAGTAGGTAGATACAAGGGGAAAGAAATGAATTGAGGACATGCAGTTTTGATGATGAGACAAAAAATAAATAGGAAAAAAAAGAGTGCTTTTGTAACCATAGAGTTAGAGGTAGTTTCGTATTTGTAAATTATACCTGCTGTAAAGGAAATCCAAAGTGATTTCTAATTTGCCTTTTTGCGACTTTTTCCTTGTCTCTTTCATTTTTCTTACTTTGCATTACTTCTTGTTCGTTTTTAACTTCTGTTACCCGTGAAAATCTACGAAAACATATATATATACATATATACATACAGGAATGTGCCACTGGACGCAATGAGGTGTCTCCACGCCTACAGGATTGCTGCCTACATTTCAAGCAGCCAGATCACCTTTGCCTACCTTCCTCGAAAAAGTTGCAACAATCCGGCGGGGGTCCAACGCGTTTAGGATGGCAGCCCAAGTCTTTACGGGACGGCGAGGATCCCCGGACTATTAAAACTTTTGTTGGCGAGCCGCTTCTTCCCAAGAAACCAATTACAGAGGGATGATGACGAAAGTAAATACGCTTAAGTTGCATCCAGTAATCATCCAGTTTTCCACCGAGGATCAGAAGAGCTGCTGGAAACCCGCTGCCTCGCTGGCTTTACACCCATAGTCTTCCCGCTCGGGAAAGACCGGAGAACAATGGAGAAAAGTCGCCCGCGATGTTCCCACGCGGCCTCGGTCGGAAGGCAGCGGCTTCTCCGGCTCAGCCAAAGGGTTGCGCAATTCTGCACCTCCTACCTCGCGTCTTCCAGGGCGGGGGAAAAGCCGCGGCCACTTTAGGGCTCTTGCCTTTTCCTTCCGCTTCTTGTTTTGGCGGAAAGGAGGCGACCGAGCAGTCGGGTTGCCAGCGTGAGACGGCGTTGGAGAAGGCGCGGCCCCGAGGGAGAGGCTTCTCCAAATCCTAGCATCTCCGCCGCTGAGGTGATTTTTGGGAAAAGAGGCCAACGGGCGCTTAGAGAAGGCTGCCCTCTTTTGGGAGCTCTTCAAAGCGCAGCCCTGTTGCAAAAAAATAAAAATAAAATAAATAATTGTGAGGTCGGATCTAAGTACAGGTGGTCCTCGACTTACAACAGTTCATTTAGTGACCGTTCGAAGTTACACCTGCACTGAAAAGAGTGACTTGTGATCCTTTTTCCCATTTATGACCATTGCAGCATCTCCGTGGTCACGTGATTTACAGTCAGATGCTTGGCAACTGACTCCTAGTTACGACTCCTAGTTGCAGTGTTCGGGAGTCATTTTGCAACCTTCTGACAAGCAAAGTCAATGGAGAACCCAGATTAGCTCAACAACCGTGTTTAATTTGCACAATTCGTCTGGTGCGCCAGTTGCGCCCCTACCTGGACCATGATGACCTCCGCACAGTCACTCATGCACTCGTGACCTCCCGGATCGACTACTACAATGCTCTCTACATGGGGCTGCCCCTGAAGACCACTCGGAGGCTTCAGCTGGTGCAGAATGCGGCCGCGTGGGTAGTGATGGGAGTGTCCCGACACTCTCATGTTACACCCATCCTGCACGATCTGCATTGGCTACCGGTTGCCCTCTGGGTGAGATTCAAGGTGCTGGTTATTACCTATAAAGCCCTACATGGCCTAGGCCCGGGGTACCTGACGGACCATCTGCGGCCAGCAACAGCTCCCCATCGCCCGGTGCGTTCCCACAAGGAGGGCCTCCTTGGAGTGCCATCGGCTAGGCAGTGTCGTCTGGTGACTCCTAGGGAACGGGCTTTCTCTGTGGGCACACCTACCTTATGGAATCAACTCCCTCTGGAGCTCCAGGTGGCCCCTGAGCTGCGCTCTTTCTGCCGTGACCTTAAGACATGGTTATTTCGCCAGGCCGGATTGGACTGAAGGGGTTTTTAAGGGGAGTTTTAATGGTTTTTAACACTTAATATTGATTTTCTCTGTTTTTATTGCTGTGAGCCACCCTGAGTCCTTTCCAGAGAGAGGGCAGCATATAAGCTTAATAAATAAATAAATAAATAAATAAATAAATAAATAAATAAATAATTTAACGATTGATTCACTTAATAAGTGTAACAGGTAACAGTAACAGTTGGAAGGGACGTTGGAGGTCATCTAGTCCAATCCCCTGCTCACACAGGAGACCTGTACTAGGGATTCAAACCACCGAACTGCCAACCTTTCTGATCGACAAGCTCAGTGTCTTAGCCACTGAGCCACCTAGTCAAGCTTGAGCCACCTAGTCAGGCTGTGTGGCAAGAAGTGTGGCAAGGAAAGTTGTGAAAGGGGACAAATTCACTTAGCAAATTTTTCACAGAACAACATAAATTTTGGGCTCAATTGTGGTCGCAATTTGAAGACTACCTGTACCTGTGATTGACCTGCGCTTCTTGTCTAGCAGAAGGTAGTGGAGTAATCAAGTGGAATATCTAATAGGTTTATAGACAGTTTGGAAACCATATTTTTAGTGCAGTAGATCCGCGATAAGTCGCTTCTTGCCAAAGCCTCAGATTGTACAACAAGGGTAACACATCCTACAGCTTGCTATAGGTAATCCTCGATTTACAACAGTTCATTTAGTGACCGAAGTTACAACAACACTGAAAAAAGTAGCTTATGGCCATTTTTCACATTTATGACCATTGCAGCATCCCCGTGGCCATGTGATTTACATTCAGATGCTTGACAACTGGTTCCTATTTATGACGGTTGCAGTGTCCCGGGGTCATGTGATCACCTTTTGCCACCTTCCAACAAGCAAAGTCAATAAAGAAGCCAGATTTAATTAATAACAATGTTACTGATTTATAAAATGTAACACCCACCATTTTCGTTTTTTTTCCCTTTGAATCAATCTTAGTACATTTCACACCAAGCCAGTCCCATCTTGGCATACAACTTCAGTGATTTACTTAACAAAAATGGCAAGAAAAGTAGTAAAATGGGGGCAAAACTCATTTAACAAATTTCCCGCTTAGCAACATAAATTTTGGGCTCAATTGTGGTCGTAAGTCGAGGACTACCTGTACTCTACCATAATCGCCATAGACATTGGTCATGCTTTCTAGGATTTTGGAACATGTGCCAAGATGGGGCTGGCTTGATGTGAAATGTACCAAGATTGATTAAAAGGGAAAAAAATGAAAACGTGGGACCTACATTTTATAAATGATTAAATAAATGCTTGTGTTTAACGCCCCAAAGGTATTAGGAGTGGATAAGTTATGAATAGATACCGATATTATGCAGGTTAGTCACTAGTTGATTTTAATGATCTCTGAGTAGTGTTGAGTTATGATCTCATTTCTACAAGCACCTAAGTTAATATGTGGTTTTGGGTTAGTCTATTGCATTTAAGGATTATAAATCATCATTCATTACCAGTACTTAACAGTTATTGATATTGGCAACATTGTTAGCCTGAAGGGGGAAGGGAGCCATAGAAATAATGGCTGAGGATGGCATAACTTCAGTAGAATGGCCTGTAGAGTTATTTTGTTTTATGACTCATTGCAAGGACCAATACTAAGTCAGGTACTTTCCATTAACCCACCTCCCACAGACAGGAATATGATTAAAAATGGTCCCTTAGATTTTAGACCCACTCAGTCTGGAGGGACCATATACAGCCTGCATCTGCTTACTTTAATATTTGGTGACCACTTTGTTCCCTCTTCTTCTATTAATCAGAGCCACCCACAGAATATGGTAAAAAAAAAAAAGGCACTCTTTTTTTACATGACACTGATAGAGCTCACTTTGCAATTTTTTGGTTCTTTGGCACAATGGGGAAAATAACTTGCTGCAATCAAATGTTTCAGTGAATGTGGAATAATTTTCTTTTACTCTTCAAGAATGCTTTGGATCCCTGGAGAATTTGTGGAAAACATCAACACTTTCTTGGAATTGCATTTTGATAGAATGGCTTCCACCCAGTTGTAATCTGAGATTGTCCAATTGGATCTGGGTTATGTGCAATGGTGGGTTTCAAAATTTTTTACTACCGGTTCTGTGGGTGTGGCTTGGTGGGCATAGCATGGCTTGGTGGGTGTGGCAGGGGAAGGATACTGTAAAATCTCCGTTCCCACCCCACTCCAGGGGAAGGATAGTGTAAAATCTCCATTCCCTCCCCAATCCAGGGGAAGGTTACTGCAAAATCCCCATTTCCTCCTGATCAGCTGGGACTCGGGAGGCAGAGAATAGATGGGGGCGGGGCCAGCCAAAGGTGGTATTTACCGGTTCTCCAAACTACTCAAAATTTCCTCTACCGGTTCTCCAGAACTGGTCAAAACCTGCTGAAACCCACCTCTGGTTATGTGTTTATTTACGATTTGAGTTGTTAAAGATTTTTGAGTTTTCTAATTTAAGCACTAGCTGTAATTTAAAGTAAGATCAACTGAGGGTTGATTTCAGGAGGCCTCTAGGCAACATTATGTCTGGTAAAATGATAAAGCAGTGATACCACTAATCTGCCTCTGGCTAAGTGAACATTCTCTTAATATGACCAAGATCTATTTTCTCATTGCAAACCTGCTATTTGTATACTTGTGGATTACAGTCTGGCTTTCACATAAAAATGACTACAGTTAAGAACAGCTTTCAATCTGCTGGTATTTCAGAGACTTTTGTGGCCACACATTTCATTCAATTGGTTTAAAGCCGTCCTTCCAAGAGAAAAATTGCAGTTTCTCTTAGAAGGAGAATGCTGAGCACTTCTAAGAATCCAGAGCTGAACATGTATGTAACCGATGTAGGCTTGCCTCTGCATATTTGCATGGAAATGAGACAAATTGTTCATGTAAATTCACTATGTCTGCAGCTTTACCCTGGCGGGGCAAGTGATAAAACATGGATTGTGACAAACTCTTATGTATTTATGTGCAATGACATGATGCAAGTACCAAAAAGTGGGACTAAAAATTACTAGCCAGAACAAATACAAAAGCACAAGTCAATAAGTAGTGCTTTTAGCATTAGATAATCCTGAAAAAGCATTACCACTTGGGAGACCACTAAGATATCCCAAGACTATGGGAAAATAAAAAAAAAAGTTATGGAAAAAGGAAGTGGCAAACCACTTCTGTACTGTTGCCAAGAAACTGCACAGACTTGTCCATGTGGTTAAAAACACAAAAACAGCAGAAGACAAAAGAACAATGATGGAGCAGAAAATAAATCTAGAGGGGAACAAGGGAAAGAAGTACAAGATATCAGTTGTCCTCACCAAAACCAGGTTTTAGGGCTCTTAGAAATGTCTGTATGATGGGACAGTTTCAGTTTTGGGGGAATGTCATTTCAGACAGGAGGAGCTGCTATAGAGGGGGCAGTGGTGGGATTCAAAATTTTTTACTACTGGTTCTGTTGGCGTGGCTTGATGGGCATGGCTTGGTGGCATAGCAGGGGAAGGATAGTGTAAAATCTCCATTCTCTCCCCACTCCAGGGGAAGGGTACTGCAAAATCCTCATTTCCTCCTGATCAGCTGGGACTTGGGAGGCACAGAATAGATGGGGGTGGGGCCAGTCAGAGATGGTATTTACCGGTTCTCCAAACTACTCAAAATTTCTACTACCGGTTCTCCAGAACTGGTCAGAACCTACTGAATACCACCTCTGATAGCGGGGGTCCTGATAGGTGGCATTCTTTAATAGATGGAACCTGGAGCACCCCAAGTCTACCAGATTGGGCCAAGCATATATTGTAGATACTCTAGGAGACAAACAGTCCAGGCGGAGGTGCTATCGGTTGGGGTAATGCAATGTGCTATTTTTTAAAGTGCAGTCAACCATGGTATCCTTTTGTGACAGGAGGTCCCTGGGGCATATTTTTTTTACTATGGTTTTAGTCCTTGTTATGGTGCATGCTGAAGATAGTGCTGTGGACTATTGTTAGCCACCTAGGTTATGGAGCCATGTTGTCTTGTTGTTTACCATCT